GACAAAGGCGGAGAACTGGGGAAAACAGCGGGGGAGGAGTCAGGAGGAGGAAACGTGGGACCGTAGACAGGAGGAGAGGCGGGGGAGGGAGGAGAAGGAGAGGGGAGACCAAGGGTCCGAAGACCTGAGACAGGAGGAGGAAGTGGCTGCTGCTGCTGCTGCTGCTGCTGCGGCTGCGGCTGCTGCTGGGACTGCTGCTCCTGCGGCTCCAGCTGCTGCTGCTGCTGCTGCTGCTGCTGCTGCTGCTGCTGCTGCTCCTCCAGCTGCTGTAACTCCCTCTCCTCTCTCTCCAACGCCAGCTGCTCCTCACGGGCACGGCGAACACGAGCCTGGTGCCTAGTCGGGTAGGGGTGGGGGGGCGGAGTAGTGTCCGGAGCAGCGGCAGCTCCAGAGTCCACCCCCGAAGGACCAGGCACACCACCCCCAGAGGCAGCACTAACACCAGCTCCAGACCCAGGCTCACCAGAACCTGAAGGAGGCGCACCCTCACCCCCAGACAGAGCACCCCCAGTGTCCGCGCGACCAGCACCAGCTCCCGGAAGACAAGAGTCCTCTGCACCCACCGGCTCAGCTCCAACTCCAGCACCCCCAGAACTAGAAACCGGTACTGGAACAGGCTCGGCACCAACCTCTCGAGAGCTAGCACCTGCGGCACGCTGCGAGGAGGACTGTGGGGAGGGAGGCTGTACCGGAGGGGCTACCGAAGGAGGAGGGGTAGCCTGGGACACACCTGACGGGGCTGGACCAGGGGGGGGAGGCTGTACCGGGGGAGCAGGAGGGGGAGCGGCAGTCAGGAAGAGGGGGGGAGGAGGAACCGGGAGACCTCGACCGGGGTGCCTGACGAAGTACGGGGTGGACTCCTCGAAACGGACGTCACGGGAGTCAAAGAACCGGTGAGAGGGAGGGTGGTAAAAGGTGAAGTCAGAGGAGTCCTCAGGGAAACCAAGGAAGACACAGGGGACGGCGCGAGGCGAGAGCTTGTCCGCAGAGGTGTCGCGGACAAGAGCCAAGCAACCCCAGACACGAAACCTCGACGCAACACCAGGGGACCCGGTCCAAAGACTGGTCGGTGAAGCCTCTGGCCGAGAGACGCGTGGCCAGAGGTTCAGCTGGTGCGCGGCGTACCGAACCGCGTAAGGCCACAGAAAATGGGGGGCACGGGCGTGAGTCAGGGAGGTGCGGGCGATCTCCATGACCAAGCCTATGCGGCGCTCAGCAACCCCATTCTGCTGCGTTGACTTTGGAAGCGTCCAGGACTGACGAATGCCCTGTTCGCGACAGAATCCAGCGAGAATGCCGGAGCGAAACTCACCCCCGCGGTCAGAGTGAAGACAGCTGACACGACGACCACGAGTGTCCGCGGTGGTGAGCAACCACCTGATCAGCGTAGAAGTCACCTCAGACTTCTTCGCCAGGGGGAACACCGTGGTGTAGCGGGAGTAGTCGTCAACAACCACCAGAAAGAAACGCTCACGCTCAGGGCCAAGGCGAGAGGCGGGGCCCCAGACATCTAGGTGAAGCGTCTCAAACGGCTCGGTGGCCAGACGAAGGGAGGAGGAGTGAGGGGTGGCGCGCAGCCGACCCTCGACGCAAGGACCGCACGGTGGTGCAAGAGACGGCGGCAGCGACGGCAAGACACGCGGGAGACCTAAGACCAGACGCTGACTAGACATAGCACGCAGACGTGGAAGAGAAGGGTGTCCCATCCGGTGGTGCCACAGAACGGTGGGGTGGGCAAGCGACCGACAGGAGCAAGACGCAGCGACTGGACTGGACGCGACAACCTGAGGGGACGGAACCACCTGGTGAGACGCAGGGAGGAGACTAGGGGGAGGGACAGGAACTGGGAGTAGGGGCTGCTGCGACGGCGGCCGCTGCGGCTGCTGCTGCTGCTGCTGCTACTGCTGCTGCTGCTGCTGCTGCTGCTGCTGCTGCTGCTGCTGCTGCTGCTGCTGCTGCGTCCACTGCCGTGCGCGCGGGCCAGTGTGAAGAGTGTAGAGACCGGAACCCGGCTCAGCAGCAAAGGTGGCGAGAGGCTGGTAAGAGTCACCGTCAACACACACTGCAGTCTCCCCAGAAGGCTCAAACCACACACCCACGTGCTGACTCACGAGGGGTCGCACGCCCACCAAGTTCCGGGAGAACGAGGGGACATGAAACCCAGTGAGAGACCCGGAGGGGGCAGCAGGACACGGCAAAGTGGTAGTGTGACGTGCAGTGACTGGTCCCGAGGTGGGATCAGCCAGTGCCACAGAGACAGGCGCAGGAAGTGGCGTAAGTGTCGTGCTGTCACGAAAGAAGCAGTGCGAGGCTCCAGAGTCCAGCGTGAAAGACAGTGAAGTGTCCTCCGAGGTAGCCGCTGGACTAGTGTCTACACAAGAACCTACACTAGCAACAGGCAACTGAGCAAGGCTAGCACCTAAGCTAACAACACCAGAGTAAACAGAGTCAGAAACACTAGAGTCAACAACAGCATACATAGCATGAGGAGTTCCAATCAGATCAGCTAACTGCTCGGCAGACATGTCCCACAGAGCGGAACCGTAACGCTGAACAAGGGGGAACCAGTCAGGGGCAGGACCGCCAACCCCGTAAACCAAACGAACCGTGTCAGTGAGCTGAGCAAAACACTGACCAGGGGGGTGAAGGCGGCCACAAGGGTGGCCCCGGCGAGCACCTGTCAGAACCTGATAGGCGCAGGGAGGGTAAACAGCACCACGCTGCGGCTGACGCGGCCCCGACCCCGAAGCCAGCTGCGGCCGCTGCTGCTGCGGAGGCTGCTGGGAGGAGAGGGGCTGCTGCTGCTGCTGAAGCTGCTGCTGACGCTGGGCCCGGTACCACGCCGCTGCCCCACCCACCGGGGCTGGCAGTACAGGGGGCGACTGACGAACGCGGGCGTCGCCACCACCAGCAGTCGCAGTGGAGTCACCGGTCGCTGCACGAGACGTCTCTCCAGGCCCTGCACTCCCACCACCGCCAGTCGCAACGCCACCCCCACTACCTCCGCCTCCACCAACGCCGCCACCAGCACCGCCCCTCTTGCCACCCCTACCGCGGGACCGCGACGAAGTCGTAACAGCAGCTGCGGTCGCGTCAGTAGTGGCAGTGGCGAGAGAGGCAGTAAAGGTGGGCAACTGCGGAACTGTGCACCCGTGGAAGAGCGGAGGGGGCACAGCACCAGAGGCAGCGGCGACGGAGCGGAGGTTGCTCTCGACGTCCTTGAGAGCAGACTCAAGGACGTCAACAGTGAGCTCACTAGGGTGCTTCAGGAGAAGCGCGTCACGAACGGAGGCAAGGCGGTCGGGGAGGCTGGTGGCGATAAAATAGATAGTAATCGCCATGGGAGGAGGAAGCAGTGCGAGCTGGGCCTCAGTGCAAGCAGCGCGGTAACTAGAGTCGAGCGAGCGGAGGTGAGCAATCAAGTCAGCAGAGCGCTCAAAAGAGGCGAGATCAGGGAACAGGAACGGGAGGAAAAGGCGGCCAAGAGAGACAGCAGCAGGAGTGGAGTAGCGGGCCTTAATCGCAGTCAGGTACTCAGCAGCAGTGCGAACCTGAGCAAAGTGAGCCTCCTCAGACTCGGGGAGAAGGGTGCTGAGCGCGATGCAGGCCGCAGCGTCACGCGACGTCCAGGCTGTCAGGTCAGCGCGCTGGCTAGCGAAGCGAGCTCTAGCGGCGTCGTCAGGGGCAGGACCTAAAGGCGTAGGGTCGGGGGGCGCAGGGAGGGCACCAGCAGCGTGCGCCCAGAGGGTCTCGCCTGACTGGACCTGACTCTCCAACTGACGGCGAGCGCGCAGAAGCCAGAGCGAAAAGTCAAGGGGTCTACCGTCAGCGTCGAAGCGAAGAACACGCGGAGTCGCCATCGTTAAAACCGACGGAAAAGCGGAGGCAGGAAACCCTAAACGAGATGGCGTGGCGAAAATCGGGCGGTCAAAGGGCGAAGCGTGAAACCCTAAACGAGGTAGAGGCGCAGCTAAACGGGGGCGGCGTTAAGGGGCAGCCGCACGGGGGCTAAGGGCAGCCGCGCGGGCGCGGGGGGCGGACGTTAAGGGGCAGCCGCGCGGGGGCTAAGGGCAGCCGCGCGGGCGCGGGGGCGGGCGTTAAGGGGGAGCCGCGCGGGGGGCTAAGGGCAGTCGCGCGCGCGACGCGACGAGCAGCGAAGGCGGGCGCCGCGGCGACGGGCGCAGGCTGCGGGCGCGACGTCGGGCGCCGCGGCGGGCAGCGACGGCGGGCGCCGCGGCGACGGGCGCAGGCTGCGGCGGGCGACGGGGGAATGCGCAGCGGTGGCGCGCGTAAGGGGGGGACGGGCGACGGGACGACGGGCGGGGAGAGCGCGATGCGACGGGCAGCAAGGGGGGAAACGCGACTCGACGGGCAGCGGGGGGAAAAACGCGACTCGACGGGCAGCGGGGGGAAAAAAACGCGACTCGACGGGCCTCGGAGGGGGGGAAAACGCGATGGGCCAGCAGGGGGGAGGAAGGTCGCTACGCTACTCGAGTAGGGGATCGGCGGAACGTGCGGTAACGAAGGAACGGGACGAGAGCGGGCCGGCGCTAGGCTCGGGCAAGACGTGCGTAAGTAATACGAGAGAGGGAGACAGGCTCGGGCGATACGAACGAGGTCGGGAGGAACGGGATCCTACAGGATCCTAACCTAGGTGATACCATCTCAAGATCGGAAGTGTTGTTTCATTGATGGTGGTTGGGGTACAAGTAGCAAACCCTAACATACGTACCCCCAAAGACACATCTCACTACAGGCTACCAACATTTGACACCCACCCCCCAAAAAACCATGTTTTATTATACCCCCCCATGGGGGCTTATCCGGGGGATGACGGTACCATGGATAATTTTCTACAGCTCATTATGGCAATTGGGGCTGTTCCTCTCTCGTTAAAGCAGCAGTATACATTTGGCAGCACTGTTGTTTCTGTACAGTGTGCCAGGCGATTTCGCCTCAACGAAAATGTAAACAGAATAGCGAGAGTGTTGCGTACGTATATGCAAATTAGTTTCACTGCGCTAGGTTCGTACGTGTTGTTGTGGCTTGTGAAGGAAGGTTTGTGGCAAGTTGGGCTGTAGAACTTGTGGAGAAAGATATGTATTGGGCTTGCAAGATTTCAAAAATAGTGCGGTTCTCCGTAAACTTTATCTTTTGTTCGTTACTCGTAATTTCGAATCTCCCTAAATCGCACACAAGGCTGCTGCTACCAGTTCAGGTGTGTGAGTGGAAGCCAGAGGCAAAGTGGGGTGTCAGATGGTGGCTCGACAGCCATCGCGTCCAAGCGACAGACTGGCGATTAGAGAGCGGCAGACGAAGACGAAGCAGTAACTGCGGACGGCTAAAAAGCGACAGTAGACGACGAGAAAGCAGCAGTTGACAACGAGAAAGCAGCAGTAGGCGACGAGAAAGCAGCAGTAGGCGACGAGAAAGCAGCAGTAGGCGACGAGAAAGCAGCAGTAGGCGACGAGAAAGCAGCAGTAGGCGACGAGAAAGCAATAGGCGACGAGAAAGCAGCAGTAGGCGACGAGAAAGCAGCAGTAGACAACGAGAAAGCAGCAGTAGACGACGAGAGCGATAAAATCCGATTCGCGATGGCGGAGAGCCGCGACAGCAGAGGCGCGAGGGTCAGCGGCAATGGCGGGTGGGGCAAGCACGCGCACGCAGGCGGGAATCCCGGCGGCGGCGGCAAAGGCGGTGGCGGCGGAGGCAGCAGCGTCGCTGCGAGCAGCACAGGCCGGAGCGGCGGCGGCGGCGGGGGCGCGAAGAGGCGGTGGAAGCCAGCGCCAGTCGCGCTCCGCCTGGATCATTTCCTCGCCGCCGCCACCACCGACGCCCGTGCCGCCGACGGCACCGTTTCCGCGCCTCTACCGCCGCCTCCGCGAGAGTCCGCGGAAGTTGGTTTGCGCGCCAGCGGGAGACGGAGCGCAGATGAGGGTAGCAGCGACGGGCGGCCGTGCGGAGGAGGAAGGGGAGGCGGAGCGGGGAGGGGAGGCGCAGGGAGGGGAAGGGTGAGAGGGGATGCGGGAGCGTGTGGTTTGCGCAAGGGGGAGCGCGAGGAGGGGCGCGAGGGGGGGCGCGTTGCAGGGCGCGGAGGGGGGCGAGAGGGGGTGCGGGTGCGGGTGAACCCAGCAACTTCGGAGAGCATTGGTGTGAGGCGAAGGAAGGAGAGGCAGACAGCGAAGCAGAAGCGAGTGAGCCGAGTGAAGCGGATGGTGTTGCAGGCTAGGCAGGCGCGGGGGGAGGGGGAGAAAGGGGAGGGGGAGCAGGGGGAAGGTGAGAATAGGGACGCGGAGGGGGAGGGGGTGGGAACGGAAGAGAAGATGAGCGAACGAGAGGGGTTGGGGGAGGAAGCGGGGGAGAGAGTGGGAATGGGAGAGGGAGAGGAGGAGGAGGAGGAGGAGGAGGAGGAGGAGGAGGAGGAGGAGGAGGAGGAGGAGGAGGAGGAGGAGGAGGAGGAGGAGGAGGAGGAAGAGGAGGAAGAGGAGGAGGAGGAAGAGGAGGAGGAAGAAGAGCGTGTGGTGCATGGTGATGGTGGGAGGAATGGAGGAGGCACGGGATGGTTGGCGCATGAGAGGCGTGAAGGGGCATGTGCGGTGGGGGTGGGAGATGGGAGGGAGGGCCCAGAAGGGGGAGAGGCGAGGGAGGGACCAGATGGGGAAGAGGGGAGGGTACGGTTAGGGGAGGGTGGGATGGAGGGCAGGGGCGAGGAGGGGACGGTGGTGGGAGAGGAGGAGGCGGAGTGCAGGGAAGTGGCGAGGGAGCGAGGGCAAGGGGTGGAGGGTGAAGTGGATGGGGGGGAAGTGGATGGGAAACGAGTGGGTAGGCGAAGGCGAGGGAGGAGAAAGGGAGGAGGAAAAGTGCAAGGGAGGGAGCAAGAAGGGAAGGAGAAAGGAGAGGAGGCATGGAAAGGAAAGGAGATGGGAGGGGAGGTGAAGGTGGAGGAGGTGCAGGGAGGGGAAGAGAAGAGAGGGCAGGAAGGCAGTGCGGTGAAAAGGCAAACTCCGCCGACCACTTACATTGGCGTGGATGCATGCAGCAGGTGAGGCATGCAGCAGGTGAGGCATGCAGCAGGTGAGGCATGCAGCAGGTGAGGCATGCAGCATGTGGGGCATGCAGCATGTGGGGCATGCAGCATGTGGGGCATGCAGCATGTGGGGCATGCAGCATGTGAGGCATGCAGCAGGTGGGGCATGCAGCATGTGAGGCTAGGAGGAGGGAAGCAGCAGGTGAGGCAGTGAGTCGATCACTCGCCATTCGACCGAGCTTCGGCCTTGCCTTGACTTGCCTTGACTTGCCTTGACTTGACTTGCATTGGCTTGCCTTGACTTGTATTGACTTGCCTTGACTTGCATTGACGTGCCTTGACTTACATTGACTTGCCTTGGCTTGCGTTGGCTTGGTTTGACTTGCCTTGGCGATCGCATGTTCACACCCTCATCCTAAAACGTCACTTGAAACATATTTCGAGGCGCGTCGAGATGTGCCTCGGTCATTGCTCGCATGTTTACAGCCTTGCGCTGACGCTCCACCTGCCCACGGCACCCCTCGCTTCACGCATCTCCTCCCCATCACCCATCTCCTCCCCATCACCCATCTTCTCCCTCACACCCCCTCTCTCCTTCCTCCCACGCACCGCCCCCCTCGCCTTTGCCCACCCCAGAGCGCAACGCACTGCTGGCGGCACTGCTGGCTCAACTCCCTTTTCCTCCCTCCCACCTACCTCTCCCACCTACCTCTCCCACCTACCTCTCCCACCTACCTCTCCCTGCTGCCTGTCTGTCTGTCTGTCTGTCTGTCTGTCTGTCTGTCTGTCTGTCTGTCTGTCTGTCTGTCTGTCTGTCCGTCCGTCCGTCCGTCCGTCCGTCCGTCCGTCCGTCCGTCCGTCCGTCCGTCTGTCTGTCTGTCTGTCTGTCTGTCTGTCTGTCTGTCTGTCTGTCTGTCTGTCTGTCTGTCTGTCTGTCTGTCTGTGTCCGTCCGACCGTCCGTCCGTCCGTCCGTCTGTCTGTCTGTCTGTCTGTCTGTCTGTCTGTCTGTCTGTCTGTCTGTCTGTCCGTCCGTCCGTCCGTCCGTCCGTCCGTCCGTCCGTCCGTCCGTCCGTCCGTCTGTCTGTCCGTCCGTCCGTCTGTCTGTCTGTCTGTCTGTCTGTCCGTCCGTCCGTCCGTCCGTCCGTCCGTCCGTCCGTCCGTCCGTCCGTCCGTCCGTCCGTCCGTCCGTCCGTCCGTCCGTCCGTCCGTCCGTCCGTCCGTCCGTCCGTCCGTCCGTCCGTCCGTCCGTCCGTCCGTCCGTCCGTCCGTCCGTCCGTCCGTCCGTCCGTCCGTCCGTCCGTCCGTCCGTCCGTCCGTCCGTCTGTCTGTCTGTCCGTCCGTCCGTCCGTCCGTCCGTCCGTCCGTCCGTCCGTCCGTCCGTCCGTCCGTCCGTCCGTCCGTCCGTCCGTCCGTCCGTCCGTCCGTCCGTCCGTCCGTCCGTCCGTCCGTCCGTCCGTCCGTCCGTCCGTCCGTCCGTCCGTCCGTCCGTCCGTCCGTCCGTCCGTCCGTCCGTCCGTCCGTCCGTCCGTCCGTCCGTCCGTCCGTCCGTCCGTCCGTCCGTCCGTCCGTCCGTCCGTCCGTCCGTCCGTCCGTCCGTCCGTCCGTCCGTCCGTCCGTCCGTCCGTCCGTCCGTCCGTCCGTCCGTCCGTCCGTCCGTCCGTCCGTCCGTCTGTCTGTCTGTCTCCCAGGGAGCTCAGCGAACTGGCTACTCCGCTGCTGGCAAAGTTGTTACGCTTCCACTGCTGGTCCAACCCCCCCCCCACTCTCGCCTCCCCCTTCTCTTTCCCCCTCTAACCCCCCTGCCCCCTTTCCCCCAGGTACGCCCGCCAAGTGGTCACACCTTTAGCTCAACGCACTGCTGGCGGAGCTGCTGTGATTCCACTGCTGTTCGCCCTTCCCCATCTCTCCCCATGTTCCCCCATTCCCCTCCCAGGTACGCCCACTAGGTGGTCGCACCCGACCTCAACGCGCTGCTGGCGGAGCTGCTGCTGGTTATCCAACCCACTGCCCCCTTTCCTTCGCGCCCCCTAACGCCTGCCCTCTCCCCCCCTCTCGCAGGTACGCCCAGCAGGTGGTAACAGCGGAGCTCAACACGCTAGTGGCTGCACTGCTAGCGCGAAACCCCTCCTCTCCCCCACTCCTCCCTCTCTCCTCTCCCCCTCAAGTCCGCCCACCAGGCAGCCGAGCTCAACGCGATGTTTGAGGTGTCTCAAAGAACTTTCGAGCTCGTGGCTGGGCTGCTAGTGGGGCTGCTGGGTCCATCATACCCCCCTCCTCCCTCCCACCTCTTCCTGCTGTTTTTCACTCTCCTCACCCCAGCTACGCCCACCAGCAGGTGGTAACAGCGGAGCTCAACGCTCTAGTGGCAGAGCTGCTGGCGGAGCTGCTGAGGTTCCACTGCCGTTCCCCTCCCTGCTCTCCACCCATGCCCCGTCTACCTCTCCTGCCTGACCCAACTATCCCTCAGGTACACCCACCAGGTGGTCACACCGGAGCTGAATGAGCTGCTGGCAGAGCTGCTGGCGGAGCTGCTGCGATTCCACTGCTGTTCGCCCTTCCCCATCTCTCCCCATGTTCCCCCATTCCCCTCCCAGGTACGCCCACCAGGAGGTCACTCCCGAGCTCAACACGCTGCTGGCGGAGCTGCTGGCGGAGCTGCTGGCGGAGCTGCTGGCGGAGCTGCTGCGCTTCCACTGCTCGTCAACCAACCCACTGCCCCCCCTTCCCTCCTGCCGCCTAACTCCTGCCCTCTCCCTCCCCCTCCCCCAGGTACGCCCAACAGGTGATCACACCCGAGCTTAACACACTCGTGGGCGAGCTGCTGGGGGAGCTGCTGCGATTCCAAGTCAGGGCAATGCAGAAAGACCCAATCAAGGTGAGCCCATTCTCTAGCTTTCAAAGGCTGGACCCATGTTACGGCTAGGCCTTGGCGTTGCAACCACCACACTGCAGTGCACATGCCCCCTCCCTAACACACCCCCCCGCCTGTCACGCCAAAATCCTTTTCCCACCCGCCTTGGCCACCAACACATGGCCGGGAGCGAGCGAGCAGTGAGTGAAATGGCGGCAGGACGGCAGGCAGTCCAAGGCTGATTAGCCCTCGTTCATCCCCACTCCCACCTCCCCCCACGCACAGGGAGCTATGAGGCGGCGTTTGCTAGCCAGGCTGAAACAGGTGGGCAGGCGGTGCAGGACTGAAGAAAGATTTTCCCCTCGCCTTGCCTCCTCCTCTCCTCTTCTGCCCTCCCCCACGCACAGGGAGCTATGAGGCCCTGCAGTCGTTCACTAGCTGGGCTGAAGGAGGTGGGCAGTCGGTGCAGGACTCAAGAAAACTCTCCCTGCGCCTTTCCTCCTCCCCCACGCACAGGACGCTACGAGGCGTTGTATGTTGGCAGGCAGGGCTGAAGGAGAAGAGGGGCAGGCGGTGACAACTGAACAAGGTTCTTCTCCTCCTCCTCCCCCGTTTTGCTGAACCCCCCACATGAAGCAACATGAGGCAATATGAGGCGAATACAAGCTTGCTGCGGTTTGAAAAGTTCTCCTTCCCGTTCCCTGCACAGCCCCTCTCCCTTTTTCTCACCAGTTTTGAGGCGCCTCAAAAGTCATCACAGCCCCTCTCCCTTTCACTCACAAGTCCCTCCTCCCCTCTACACAGGGGGCAATCACCAAAATCCTTTTCCCACCCACCTTGGCCGCCACCACCGTAAAGAAATTCCAGCTTTCTCCTTCATCCCTCCTTCTCCGCGCCGTGCACAGGGTGCGATGCGATGGATGCGGTTGCTAGCAGGGCTGAAGGATGTTGGGCAGGCAGTGCAAGGCGGAAGGTGATTCCCCCTCTCCCCACCACTCCTATCCCACTTTACCCCCCACGCTCAGGGAGCTATGCGGCGGCGGGTGCTCTCAGGACTGAAGGAGGTGGGGCAGGCGGTGCGCAGTGGGCGGGCCAAGTGTGTGGTGCTGGCGCCTAACGTGGAGGAGGTGCCTGGGGCAGGTGAGAGGGAAGGGGATGATGGGAGGTGGGGCATGGAGTCAGGGTTGAGCTGGTATGGTCGTTTGGTTGTGTGCACAAGTGTGAGCGGCTGGTGGAAAATACTTTTTGAGAATTCTCAAAAGAAACACCAATATTAGTGGATAATACTTTTGAGTATTCTCAAAAGAAAAACCGATGATGATGGATAATACTTTTGAGTAGTCTCAGAAGTAACACCAATAATGGTGGATAATACTGTTGAGAAATCTCAAAAGTAACACCAATATTGATGGATATCACTTTTGAAATTTCTCAAAAGTAACACCAATATTGGTGGATAATACTTTAAAGAATTCTCAAGAGTCACACCAATGATGATGGATAATACTTTTGAGAATTCTCAAAAGTCACACCAATAATCATGGATAATACTTTTGAGAATTTTCAAAAGTAACACAAATAATGGTGGATAATACTTTTGAGAATTCTCAAAAGTAACACCAATAATGGAATTTGTTTAACCCTTTTGAGAATTCTCAAAAGTCACACCAATAATGGTGGATAATACTTTTGAGAAATCTCAAAAGTCACACCAATAATGGAGGATAATCTGCACGTGAGGTGACTGGGTGGGGAAGAGAAGGATGGAGGGAGTGAGCGTCAGAAGGAAAGGGAGCAGAGGAGGGAAAACAGAGGGGCTCAGGGAAATGGGGCGGCAGAGGGGAGAGCAGCAGGGGGCAGATGGTGAGCGGTGGGAGGGCCAAGTGTGTGGCGCTGGGAGGGCCAAGTGTGTGGCGCTGGGAGGGCCAAGTGTGTGGGATTAGACGGTGGGAGACATTTGTTGGGAATTATCGTTAATGTTTCGTTTTTTTTTTTTTTTTTTTTTTTTTTTTTTTCACGCTATCCATGTTTTAGAATTCTCAAAGCTGACTTGAGAATATTTTTTCGCGCATATGCGGCACTCATCGTTCTAGCCACCCATATCCATCTGCCCTAACCCTCCCTTTTGACCCCTAGGCAGCCTTGACATGGCACACATCAGATGCTA